ATAAGATCACTTCTTACACTTCTAAACTCCAGAGGACAAAGGCCTGGCTTGTCCGACATTTCCTCATAAAATAACCTCGCCATCACAGGGGTCAGTCAAGTGGGGTGGCACGGTGGCTCAGTGGTTAGCACTATTGCTTCACAGCACCAGGGACTCGGGTTTGATTCCAACCTCGGGCAACTGTCTGTGCGGAGTTTGCACATTCTCCCCGTGTCTGTTCCGGTCTCCTCCCACAGTCTAAAGATGTGCAGGTTAGGTGGATTGGCCATGCTAAATTGCCCTGTAGTGTTCAGAGATGTGTAGATTATAGGGGGATGGGTCTGGGTGGGATGCTCTGAGGGTCAGTGTGGCCTTGTTGGGCCAAAGGGCTTGTTTCCACACTGTAGGGATTCAATGATGATGATGGATCTTCTCAGATATGCTTCTAATGCATTTATGTTGTAAATAAGGAGTCCAGAGTGATCTCACCAATGTCCTGTACAACAGCAACTGAACAAAGCTAATTTTATATTCCATTTATAGAATTCCTACAGTGTGAAACCAGGCCATTCAGCCCATCCAAAGGGCATCCCACCCAATCTCTGTAACCCTGCATTCCCATGGCTAACCCACACAGCCTGCACATCCCTGGACACCATAGCATGGCCAATCCACCATAACCTGCACATCTTTAGACTGCGGGGGGAAACCCAAGCAAACTTACATGGACACGGGGAGAATGTGCAAACTCCATACAGACAGTCGCCCGAGGGTGGAATCGAACCCAGGTCCCCAGTGCTGTGAGGCAGCAGTGCTAACCACTGAGACACCGTGCCACTCTAAATTCCCCTTGCATGAAATGACAATGTTCCATTTGTCTTTCCATTCACTTGCTGTACCCTTGCACTGACCCTGCACTTCATACATGACCAAGATCCCACCGCACTTTACAGCTCTCTCCAATTGAACAACATGCTGCATTTCCATTCTTCCTGCCAAAGTGGAGAAGTCCACATTTTCCCACATTGTACTCTATCTGTCAAACTGTTACCCATTCACCCAACCAGACCATGTCCCTTTGTCCCCTCGCCACTTATTTTCCGACCTGTCTCTGTGTCATTTTGGAAACCATGTATATTTTTCCATCATCTAAGTCATTTTGTACAAATTGTGAATTGTTGAGCTATAAAGGAAGATGCAGCTTCAGCTTATCGAGTGTCTTTTGCAGCCTCAGGAAACCTAAACAGTGCTCCCCAGCCAAATGGTGTTGGTTACAGGCTCAGGAAACCAGGCTGAGCTCCCCAGCTCTTCTAACCTGGTTACCAATGCGACAAACCTTATGATATACACCATACGATGTAGGAGCAGAAGGAGGCCATTCAGCCCATCGAGTCTTCTCCGCCATTCAGTGATGTCATGGCTGATCTGATCATCCTCAACTCCACTTTCCTGCCTTTTCCCCGTAACCCTCGATTCCCTTCCTGATTAAAAATCTGTCTCTCTCAGCCTTAAATATACTTAATGGCCCAGCTACGACAGCCCTCTGTGGTAAAGAATTCCACAGATTCACTCGCCTCTGAGAGAAGAAATTCCTCCCCATCTCTCTGTTAAATGGGTGAGCCCTTATTCTGAGATTACACCCTCTGGTCCTAGACTCTCTCACAAGGGGAAACAACCTCTCCACATCTCCCCTGTCAAGTCCCCCCAAGAATCTTGTATGTTTCAGTAAGGTCGCCTCTCATTCTTCCAAACTCCAATGAGTTCAACATCAACTGCCCAACCTACTCAACCTCTCCTCATAAGACAGTCCTTCCATACCCGGGATCAGCCAAGTGAACCTTCCCTGGAACAAAAACAGAAGTTGCTGGAAAAGCTCAGCAGGTCTGGCAGCATTTGTGAAGAAAAAATCAGAGTTAACGTTTTGGGTCCGATGACCCTTCCTCAGGGTTCAGGGGCCCTAAACGTTAACTCTGATTTTTCCTCACAGATGCTGCCAGACCTGCTGAGGTTTCCCAGCAACTTCTGTTTTGGTTCCTGATTTACAGCATCCGCAGTTCTTTTGGTTTGAACCTTCTCTGGGCTGCCTCCAATGCCAGTCTATATTTCCTTTAGATAAGGGGCACAAAGCTGTTCACAGTATTCCAGCAGTGGACTGACTAGTGCCTTGTATAGTTTTAGCAAAACCTCCCGACTTTTATACTCCATTCCCTTTGAAACAAAGACCAACATTCCAGTTACCATCCCTATGACCTGCTGAACATGGATGCCAGTTTTTATTGTGATTCATGGATGAGGATTCCCAAATCCCTCTGTCCTGTAGCTTTCTGCGGTCTTTCTCCATTTAAATAATATTCCGCTCCTCTATTCCTTCTGCCAAAGTGCATAACCTCACAGTTTTCCCCACATTATATTCCATGTGCCAGGCTTTTTCCCACTCCCTTCACCTGTCTACATCCCTCTGCAGACTCACTGTGTCATCCTCGCATTCACACCTATTTTTGTGTTACCCACAAACCTGGCTATAGTACATTCACTTTCTTCATCCAAGTCATTAATACAGATTGTAAATAATTGTGGCCCCAGCACTGACCCCTGTGGCACTCCACTAGTCACAGGTTCTCATTCTGAAAGTGGCCCATTTATCCTAACGTTCTGCCTTCTATTAGTTAGTTAATCTTGTATCAAGGTTGTTATGAGCAAATGTTTTTTTCACCCAGAGGGTGGTGGGGGTCTGGAATGCACTGCCTTGGAAGGGTAACCATGATCCCAAATTAAACTAGTCCCCCAATTCCTGCTCCTGGCCCATATCCCTCCAAACCTTTCCTGTTCATGTACTTATCCAAATGTCTTTTAAACAATGTAACTGTACCCACATCCACCACTTTCTCTGGAAGTTCATTCCACACACGAACCACTCTCTGTGTAAAAAAGTTGCCCCTCATGTCCTTTTAAATCTTTCTCCTCTCACTTTTAAAATATGCTCTTGAAGTCTTGAAATCCCCTACCCTAGGGAAAAGACACCTTATCTGTGCCCCTCACAATTTTATTGGATGAGTACTTGAAATGTCATAACATTCAAGGCTTTTGGGCCTGATGCTGGATGAGCCGAGATAGGCCAGTGTCGATAGGCTGAATGGCCTCTTCTGTGCTGTATGGCCATGACCTGCTGCGTTCCTCCAGCATTTGCTCCTTTGGCAACAACTCCCCGCCCTCCATCCTCAGCCCCCGGGGGTGGCAAATTTCCGTGCACTTTTAGACAGAACCTGGCAAATGGAGTGCTGAAGGAGCATCGAGCAAGCATAATTAATGCCGCCCCACCAGTGTGCTGGAACACCTTTTGAGGCCCCCTCCCAACAAATCCAGGTGTTATAACTGGACCATTTCCTCCAAGCTGAAGAGGCAGAAAGGGACATGTGCAAACGTGCCTTTTTCATCTTGCAAAGTGAGATTTTGATTGCAGAAGTTCCCTTTGCAGCAGACCACTCGTAGACCAGACGATGATTGTTCACAGGGTATATCCTTATCCCGGTGGCAGCCCCTCCTAATCTCACCCGGAATCTCGCTGTTGATGGAGACAAAACACTGGAGGCCGGTACAAGTGTTGGTGGTACAATAGCCTTTCTCACAAACGCAATCAAACTCCATGGGCTCCTGCTCACCTACAAGCGAGAAATCGATAAAACATCGCAACGTCACAGTGAAATGGATCGTGACCATGGAAATGACAATGTAACTGATCAATGTTTGGCTGTGTATTGCGGGCATGTGCGAGAACGCGCCTCAAACACTGGTTTGCAGTCAACGAAAGACACTTGAAAACAATTCACAGTGACTTAGAGGGGTGACAGCATCTTTATTCCCATGGCTGACCATGTAGAGAGTAACAGAATAAAAGTCAAAATCCTGCAGATGCTGGAAACCTGAAGAGTCTAAACAGAAATTGCTGGAGAAACTCAGGAGGTCATGAACTCAAAAATAAAACAACGAACTGGGGATGCTCGAGATCTGAAACAAAAACAGAAATTGCTGGAGAAACTCAGCAGGTCTGGCAGCATCTGTGGGGAGAGAGAGAAATAGAGTTGACATTTCAGGTCATTTCTGAAGAAAAGTCACTGGAATTGAACAGTAAAGGCATGAATTATGTTTGTCTCTCTCCACAGATACTGCTGGACCTGCTGGGTTTATCGATCATTCCCTGCTTTTACTGCAGTCATCAATGTCTGCTCAGCACAGGTTCTGAACACATGTACAAAGCAGGATAAGAACCTTTCCCTTTGTTCCTGGTTGTACAGCCAGACATCAGGCAACAAGCCAGAAATTGCATCTTCTCCCAGAGTGTCTGATCAGGGCTCTAGCTATGAACAGCGATTAGGACGTTGGGAATATGGTCAGGGAATGGGGAACTTTTTAAAAACATTTCCTGGTTGTGTTAAAACAGAGCTGGAGAGAATTGCCAATTTCCCTGTGGGTTAAACACAGAAGGTCTGGTGTAAGAGGCCAGTCACTTTACTGAGGGTTAAAGAGATTGAAGGGCACTGTAAAAGCAATATCCTCCAGATGCTGGAAATCAGAAATAAAGACGGAAAGTGCTGGAGAAACTCGGCAGGTTCTTGCAGTATGTGTGTGGAGAGAGAAACCGAGTTAATGATCCAAATCTGGTATGACTCCTCTTCAGAACTCATTGAGGGGTAAGGCTGAGGAGTGTGTGAATAAGACGGCAGGACTGATGTATGAAGACAGACTAGGTCAGTTAGCACAATATTCACTGGAATTTACAAAAATGAGGAAGGATCT